CTGCCTGCCTCGGCAGCCCAAAGTGCTGGGATTCACAGGAGTGAGCCACTGTACCTGGCATGATGTTATTTATCTATTATTGCATAAATCTCTCCTGTGTTTAGCACTAAGGACACAAAGATAGATTTTGCAGTATGGTTTCTGCCCCCAAGGAGATCAAAGGGGTAAATAATATGTATGTAATACAAGGTCAGAAATGTAATGCTGTGGGGCATCTATAAGTACTATGGTTGTGAAGGAAGGAGTAATGAATGTGTTCCGATCCCAGGGAAAACATTAGCAAAGACGCAATATATATATAAAACAAACAATAACAAAAACAAATAATGATATGACAATATTTTGAGAAATGAGTCAAAGTTATTCGGTGGAAAGATATTCTCAGGTAGCACAGGTATAGATAAAAGCTGGAAAAGGATGATGAGTTCAGGGAACTGTAGCTTCATTGTCCAAGTATGAAGGTATGTGTGTGTGTGTATTAGTGATGAGGATATCAGTTTATACAACTTTTTGCCACAATGTATCACTGTGGGCACTCAAAATGTGGCTGGTGACACTAAGCAGCCATATTTTAAATTTTCTTTTCTTTTTTTTTTTTTTTTTTACAGACAGGGTTTCACCCTGTCACCCAGGCTACAGTGCAGTGGCATAATCATGGCTCACCACAGCCTCCTACTCCTGGGCTCGGTGGTCTCCTGCCTCAACCTCTCGAGGAGCTGGGACTACATGGACTACAGGTGCATGCCACCATGCCACCAGCTGCTTGAGCAAAATTTTTTTGAGATGGAGTCTCTCTCTGTCACAGAAACATGCCGGCCGGCGTCTCGGCTCACTGCAACCTCCGCCGCCCGGTTCGCAGATTCTCCTGCCTCAGCCTCCTGAGTAGCTGGGATTATATCACCCACACCACACCTGGCTAATTTTTGTATTTTTAGTAGAGATGGGGTTTCACCATCTTGGCCAGGCTAGTCTCGAACTCTGACCTTGCCCGTCCATGCCTTGGCCTCCCAAAGTGCTGGGGATTGCAGGGTGAGCCACCGCGCCTGGCCCAACGTGCAAAACAAATTTAATTGTCATTAATATATTTAATGTAGATACCCACATGTGGCTAATGGCTGCAAATTGGACAATTGTAGTCTAGAAGGAAACAACAGCTGTGTGGCTATTCTAGGATCAGTCTATATAGCGCAAATGTGCTTTATAGCCAGAATTCTCAAAGAGAATGAGGTGAGGGAAAGCTAGCTCAAGATACTGTATAACAGTTCTGTCCAACAAAGGCCTTCCTAACAGAGCTATTGGACCATTCCAGTGTATACTAACCATAACCATTGTCATTAAGGCGTGTTTGCATACCTGGAGTAACGTACTTGACCTGCCACATGCTTCTGATGCAAGTGTCTGCCCTGTCCAAGGTGATATGCACAGGGGAGGGTGTTGGAAACCACGACACAAACCAAGCTGACTGATTTCCCTTAAGAAAGGAAGAAGTCATTTGACCTCATTACAGAAAAACTTGGGGAAAACCTGCATATTTGAGGTACAATCAACTATCAAAAAAAAACCAAAAACAAAAACCAAAAACCCAATCAGACTCATACATAAGTATTGGTATGGCAGTAGCTGTAAATCAAATTATACTAAGAACAGGAGCTGTGCCTGAAGCAGTGCATTTCAGCAATTCATGTGAAACTGTATGACTTCTTTGACAAGCCTCAATACTATTTTTGAAAAAAGCATGTCTATTATTAAAGAATTAAAAGGAAATATAACTCATAGCTAATATCTCTGTGTAAGAGTTGAGTTTAAATATTAACATTTGTGTGCTCTAATAGAATATGTAAGACACAGCTGGTGGCTAGCTCCACCTTGTAATCCCAGCACTTTGGAAGACCGAGGTGGTGGTCATGAGGCTCGGAGGATTTGGGGATGGCCTGGGCAACATAGCAACTTACCCATCCTCTACTAAAAACTATTTTCCTGCCCCAGTCTCTGGAGTAGCTGGGATTACAGGCGCCTGCCACCATGTCCGGCTGATTTTTTTTTGAGGCGGAGTCTCTCTCTGTCGCCAGGCCGGAGTGCGATGGTGCCATCTCGGCTCACTGCAACCTGACTCCCAGGTTTACGCGATTCTCGTGCCTCAGCTTCCCGAATAGCTGGGACTACAGGTACACGCCACCGCAGTCAGCTAATTTTTGTATTTTTAGTAGAGATGGGGTTTCACCATGTTAGCCAGGATGGTCTCAAATCTCCTGATCTCGTGATCCACCCGCCTCAGCCTTCCAAAGTGTAGGGATTACAGGCGTGAGCCACCACACCCGGCTGAAATGCAGTTTTATACATAAAGAACCACCTTGCCCAAGATACCAATAGTACTCACTTTGAAACACTATAAAAGGTCTACAACATTACAAGTTGCATCTTAAAAAAATTCTCCATTATATTTAGTTTAAGAGGACTTAGAAGACGGCTAAAGAGTGGGGAGAAGGCAGGAGAGTGTGAAATACATGGGGACTCCCATATGTTGGCAGAGAACATGGCCCTCTCAGGAATTTCATGGCTCTAACTGCGTTTCAGCCTAGCTTATCTTACCAGCACTTATTTCAACATTAGGATCTGGGACTTGACTTGGCAGTTGTTCGTGACACAGTTGTAGTACTACTCACTCAGCTAGGAATAACAAAAGGTGTAGACTTTCTCTTTTTTCCTGTTTTTAGACAAGGTCTCACTCTATTGCCCAGGCTGGAGTGCAGTAATGTGATCATAGCTCACTGCAACCTCCATCTCCCAGGCTCAAGTGATCCTCCTGACTCAGCCTCCCCAGTAGCTGAGACTACAGGCACACAGCACCATGACTGGCTAATTTTTTTTTGGTTTTAGTAGAGATGAGGTCTTGCTGTGTTGTCCAGGCTGGTCTTGAACTTATGAGCTCAAGCAATCTTCTCACCTTGGCATCCCAAAATGTTGGGATTACAGGCGTGAGCCACTGTGCCTGGCCAATAAAGACTTTGGACTGATGTAATATTATTCAGTCATATAAAGACAAAATGTAAATAAAATGGTTAAAGTGTCCTCTCAGTTGCAGAATAGACCTCAGTTGCCAGAAAGACATAACTTTTTAAAAATCTTATTTAGTTTTTTGGGATGAAGTTTTGCTCTTGTTGCCCAGGCTGGAGTGCAGTGGTGTGATCTCAGCTCACTGCAACTTCCACCTCCTGGGTTCATGCAATTCTCCTGCCTCAGCCTCCCAAGTAGCTGGGATTACAGGCACCCACCACCACACCCAGCTAATTTTTGTATTTTTAGTAGAGACGAGGTTTCACCATGTTGTCCAGGCTACTCTCTAACTCCTGACCTCAGGTGATCCACTTGCCTTGGCCTCCCAGAGTGCTGGGATTACAGGCGTGAGCCACTGTGCCTGGCCTACAGTTCATTTTTATTAAAATAATAATAATAATAATAAAGATGGGGGTCTCACTATGTTGCCCAGGCTGATCTTGAACTCCTGGCCTCAAACGATTCTCCTGCCTTGGCTTCCCAAAGTGCTGGGATTACAGGTGTGAGCAACTACATCCGGCCTTGAATCCTTTTTTATCTAAGATTTTCCGACATTGTCAAATTGTGTAAGGTAAATTTCTACTTGTTCTCTAGAATCCATTCTCCCCATTTTTCCTTAATAAAAACCACAAATGGTTCCCATTTCCTCCTCCATTTCCCAGCTTCCTTATGCGTGGGTATGGCCACGTGACTTGACCTATGGACTGTGTAAACTGATGTGTGCAACATCCAGCTTTTCCTCCCTTCTTTTAAATAGGGAAGCTGCTTCCTCTCCATGCTTTCTCCCTTTTCACCCTTACTGGGAAAGGATGACAACTTGGGCAGCCACCTTAGACCTACAGATGGCCATGGAATGTTCCACCAGCCGGATCCTTGGAGCAGAGCCACCTACTCACTTTTATCTTATTTAAGCCAACGTATTTTGGAGAAATTAATTTTCCTGCCATTTTTTTCATATGCTGGCTGCTAACTCCAAATAAGAGAAATGACATCTGGTCTCAACATAAAAATCAGTAATGAGGTGGGGCATGGTGGCTCATGCCTGTAATCTCAGCACTTTGGGAGGCCGGTGGGTGGATCACTTCAGGCCAGGAGTTAAAGACCAGCCTGGACAACCTGGTGAGACCTTGTCTCTACTAATACAAAAATTAGCCAGGGGTGGTGACACATACCTGTTATCCCAGCTACTCAGGAAGCTGAGGCATGAGTCGCTTGAATCCAGGAGGTGGAGGTTGCAGTGAGCCGAGATTGCACCACTGTACTTCAGGCTGGGTGACAGAGCAAGACCCTGTCTCAAAAAAAAAGAAACAACAGTAGTGGGAGAAACTTGAATGTAGCAGACCTCCAATTTTATATATATGTGGGTCACAGATTCATACCGTATACATACTGTACAAAAAAATAAACTTGTTTTTATAAGCTGAATACATTATGAACAGGCACAATCTTGAACAGTTTAAAAAAGTTAACTGTGGCCGGGTGCGGTGGCTCACACCTGTAATCCCAGCACTTTGGGAGGCCGAGATGGGCGGATCACGAGGTCAGATCAAGACCATCCTGGCTAACACAGTGAAACCCCATCTCTACTAAAAAAAAAAAAAAAAGAGTTAACTGTTAAGAGCTTTGAAAAGGGTGAGGCTGGCCGCAGTGGCTCACGCCTGTATTCCCAGCACTTTGGGAGGCTGAGGCGGGTGGATCACCTGACATCAGGAGTTTAAGACCAGCCTGGCCAACATGGTGAAACCCCATCTCTACTAAAAATACAAAACTTAGCTGGGCATGGTGGTGCATGCCTGTAATCCCAGCTACTAGGGGGGGCTGAGGCAGGAGGACTGCTTGAACCTGGGAGGCAGAGGTTGCAGTGAGCTGAGATCGTGCCACTGCACTCCAGCCTGGGAAACAGAGCGAGACTCAGTCTCAAAAAAGAAAAAAAATGAGGAAAAAAAAGGGTGAGAGTGGGAGCTTTATTTATGTTTAATATGTTTAACACAATTTCAATGTATATTCTTGTGTTCAATACAGTTAATATCTGGAGTGAACAAGGTCGGTCTCATACATCTATCTGTCCTTTCTTCTTCCGCACGTTGAATACAAGGGAAACAGGCTTCTTGGTTTTATAGGCCACACTTTTCTTGAGGCGCTGTCCTTTGATGTTAACAATATATGGCAAGAGAGGGGGCCGGACGGTCAAAACTGTTCCTTCAGGTGTATAGCCTCGGAGATGCAGTCTGTCCTTAACATTAGGTGTTACTGAAACCCAACCTATGCAGACACGTGACACAACACAAAAGGCTGTTAGCAGTCATCTTATTAAAAATACCAAACCAAAGCTGAAAATGGAATATCAGAGAAGGCTGTCACTCTCTTTCACTCTCTTATTATTTTATTATTTTTAAAGAAACTATCTTGCTATGTTACCCAGGCTGAACTCAAGTTCCTGGGCTCAATCGATCCTCCTGCCTCAGCCTCCTGAGAAGCCAGGGGAACAGGTAGGCACACCTTATTTTAAAAAAAGCATACAATGCGTTTGTGAAGAGTACAAACTTATTTTCAGAATAGGCTGTATTTTATGAATAAACTAGTATGTATACCTTAAAATAATCAGCTTTCATCAGTTAAGGCACTTTTCTATTAAAAAAATTGTCAGTAAGGCTGCTTTATTCACTTTTTGTTTTTTTTTCTGAGATGGAGTTTGGCTCTCGTTGTCCAGGCTGGAGTGCGATGGCGTGATCTCGGCTCAACGCAACCTCCACCTGCCGGGTTCAAGCGATTCTCCTGCCTCAGTCTCCCGAGTAGCTGGGATTACAGGCATGCGCCACCACGCCCGGCTAATTTTGTATTTTTAGTGGAGACTGAGTTTCTCCATGTTGGTCAGGCTGGTCTCAAACTCCCAACCTCAGGTGATCCGCCTGCCTTGGCCTCCCAAGTGCTGGGATTACAGGTGTGAGCCACTGCACCCGTCCTTTTATTCACTTTTTAAAAAGTGCTTGGCATAAAATTACCTGCAGAGGAAAACTTGATGTCTGCCACTGCTTCAGATGCCCCCCGTCCTTCTTTTAACATAATATCTTCAGCAACAAGAGGAGGAAATCCTGCCATTCGTTCTTTTCCACCCATTGGAACCTTCCAATGAAATAAAGACATTTACAAGTTCAAATTAAATTTCTTGGAACTCTAACATTAAGTAAATCACTGATAAGGTAATTCTGTACAGGGATCAATAATAAAATCCTTTCAAATATTCAACTGTTGAAAAGAACGTACAATCACTTCTGGGGTCAAAGGAAAAGGAAGGGAACTCTGTGATGGGATGAAGCCTACAAATCTCAGGGCCCTGGGCCACACATTGGGCAAGCACCTGGCAGCAGCCTCCGGACAGGAGAATTGTGCTTCACTGACACTGTTTTTAGAATCCTCCACAGGGCTTCACATAGATTCATGTTGGGCAATTAAGGCACGGTCCTTCCAAGTACCTCAGTTCTTACAAGTGTAGCCATCAAGATTAATGCCTGGTCTTTATGAGTTAAGGGTCCATATATAATGGATAAGATTTAGTTTTATGTTTACAGGTGTTTCCATGATGAGAAGTAATTGAGTTTTTTTTTTTTTTTTTTGAGATGGAGTTTTGCTCTTGCTGCCCAAGCTGGAGTGCAATGGCACGATATCAGCTCACTGCAACCTCCGCCTCCAGGGCTCAAGTGATTCTCTTGCCTCAGCCTCCCGAGTAACTGGGATTACAGGTGTGTGCCACCATGCCAGGCTAATTTTTTGTATTTTTAGTAGAAACAGGGTTTCACCATGTTAGCCAGGCTGGTCTTGAACTCCTGACCTCAGGTGATCTGCCTGCCTCGGCCGCCCAAAGTGCTGGGATTACAGGAGTGGGCCACTGTGCCTGGCCGTAACTGATAATTTATTTATCTATTCATTAGCAAATCTCTCCTGTGTTTAGCACTAAGGACACAAAGATAGATTTTGCAGTATGGTTTCTGCCCCCAAGGAGATCAAAGGGGTAAATAATATGTAAGCAAATACAAGGTCAGAAATGTAATGTGAGGCATCTGTAAGTACTATGGTTGTGAAGGAAGGAGTAATGAATGTGTTCAGTCAAGGAAAACATTAGCAAAGAAGCAATATATATATAAAACAAACAACAACAAAAACAAATAAGCAATTATGAGCAATATTTTGAGAAATGAGTCAAAGTTATTCGGTGGAAAGATATTCTCGGTCAGCACAGGTATAGATAAAAACTGGAAAACGGATGATGAGTTCAGGGAACTGTAGCTTCATTGTCCAAAGTATGGTGTGTGTGTGTATGTGTGTGTGTGTATGTGTGTGTATTAGTGATGAGGATATCAGTTTATACAACTTTTTGCAACAATGTCACTATTGGGCACTCAAAATGTGGCTGGTGACACTAAGCAGCCATATTTTAAATTTTCTTTTCTTTTTTTTTTTTTTACAGACAGGGTTTCACCCTGTCACCCAGGCTACAGTGCAGTGGCATAATCATGGCTCACCACAGCCTCCTACTCCTGGGCTCCGGTGGTGCTCCTGCCTCAACCTCTCGAGGAGCTGGGACTACATGGACTACAGGTGCATGCCACCATACCTGGCTAACTTGAGCAAAAATTTTTTTGAGATGGAGTCTCTCTCTGTCACCCAGGCTGGAGTGTAGTGGCGTGATCTCGGCTCACTGCAACCTCCGCCGCCCCGGTTCAAGTGATTCTCCTGCCTCAGCCTCCTGAGTGGCTGGGATTATATGCACCCACCACCACACCTGGCTAATTTTTGTATTTTTAGTAGAGATGGGGTTTCACCATCTTGGCCAGGCTGGTCTCGAACTCCTGACCTTGTCGTCCATCTGCCTTGGCCTCCCAAAGTGCTGGGATTACAGGGGTGAGCCACCGCGCCTGGCCCAACGTGAGCAAATTTTAATTGTCATTAATATATTTAAATGTAGATACCCACATGTGGCTAATGGCTACCAAATTGGACAGTGTAGTCTAGAGAAACAACAGCTGTGTGGCTATTCTAGGATCAGTCTATATAGCGCAAATGTGCTTTATAGCCAGAATTCTCAAAGAGAATGAGGTGAGGGAAAGCTAGCTCAAGATACTGTATAACAGTTCTGTCCAACAAAGGCCTTCCTAACAGAGCTATTGGACCATTCCAGTGTATACTAACCATAACCATGCAATCATTAAGGCGTGTTGCCTTACCTGGAGTAACGTATGACCTGCATGCTTCTGATACAGAGTGTCTGCCCTGTCCAAGGAGGTGATATGCACAGGGAGGGTGTTGGAAGCCACGACTGTAAACCAAGCTGACTGATTTCCCTTAAGAAAGGAAGAAGTCATTTGACCTGGTGAAAAACTTGGAAAACCTGCATATTCAAGGTACAATCAACTATCAAAAAAAAACCCAAAAAACAAAAACCAAAAACCCAATCAGACTCCCTTTCTAAGTATTGGTATGGCAGTAGCTGTAAATCAAATTATACTAAGAACAGGGGCACAATACTGAAGCAGTGCATTTCAGCAATTCATGTGAAACTATGACTTCTTTGACAGCCTCAATACTATTTTTGAAAAAACGTGTCTATTATTAAAAATTAAAAGGAAATACTATCTGCTTCAATTGTCTCTGTGTAAAGTTAGGTTTAAAATATTAACATTTTATGTGCTCTAATGAAATATATAAGGGTGCAAGCCTGGTGTAGTGGCTCACGCCTGTAATCCCAGCACTTTGGAAGACCGAGGTGGGTGAATCCCTTGAGCTCAAGTTTGAGACCAGCCTGGGCAACATGGCAACACCCCATCTCTATAAAAAATACAAAAAGTAGCTGGGTGTGGTGATGTGTGCCTGTAGTCCCGGCTACTTGCGGGGCTGGGGTGGGAGGATCACAGGAGCCCAGGAGATTGACGCTGCAGTGAGCCATAACTATCACTGCACTCCAGTCTGGGCAACAGAGTTTCAAAAACAAACAAACAAAAAAAAACAAACAACTCCCCCAAAAACAAAAAACCAACAACCTCCCAAAACGAAATATATAAGGGTTCTAAGTGTGTAAAGCAAAATTTCTAACAAAGTATGAGCAAACACAAAACCCAAGAAATGTGCTATAGTGATGGCCTGTAAGTTGTATTGTGTTGTTGGACATATCCATGTTTCATTTTTCTTTTTTCTCTTCACTTTAGCAAAGGGAGAACAATTCTATAGACACTCCAAAATCTCTAGATGCTTGATAAATAAATACCAAACAAAAAAGTATATGCATAAAAACACACATATCATGGGAAACAAAGTGTGGAATTAATGTAATGCCTGTAACCCTGTACCTAAAGGTTTGACTTTATCCCATAGATTTGACTCTGTCCCACAGAATAGGGATGGTATCTTGTTTTAAATGCCAAGCTGTGTGGGGTACTCAATTGAAAACATAGTTTTTAAGACCTAGCACTTTTTGGGGGGGGATGAGGGAGTAGGGCATTTATTTTCTCCAAATTTTTTTTTTTTTTTTTTGAGATGGAGTCTCACCCCATCACCCAGGCTAGAGTGCAGTGGTGCGATTTCAGTTCACTGCAGCCTCCGCCTCCCAGGTTCAAGTGATCTTCCTGCCTCAGCCTCTCTAGTAGCTGGAATTAAAGTGCGCCACCATGCCCAGCTGATTTTTGTATTTTTAGTAGAGATGGGTTTTCACCACGTTGACCAAGCTGGTCTTGATCTCCTGGCCTCAAGTGATCAGCCTGCCTCAGTCTCCCACAGTGCTGGAATTACAGGCGTGAGCCACCATGCCCAGCCATCCCCAAGTTTTTATTACAGAAATTTTTAAACATAAAAACAAATTAAACCCTATACAATCATGGCTTAGTTATCAACATTTTGTCAGTTTTGTGCATATATCTGCTTCCTTAAAGTGAATCCCAGTATTTTAAAATCAGTTTTTAATGGTACCGACTTTACTTACCTGCAGGAAATCTATGCGGCCTATAGCACCCAAAAACAGAACCATTCCTGGTTTAAGCACAAAAGTTCTTGGAACAATGGACTGTGTTGGCAAAACAATATTTACTTCTTTTTCTGTTAGAAGATTTAAAATCTGTGAAGCAAATGGCAGATTTTTTTAGAGAAATACTTTCATTGAAAATATATTATGATTTACCTGTAAAATAAAAAGTGAAGAAAAATATGCCAGACTTCAAAATAAACTAAATTATGTCAGTTTGCTACACATCAAATTTATATAGATTCTTCCTGTCTAAATTAATCTCCATCTGATGGCTCTACCTTTGTTTTACAACTTAATCTACAGTAATGGCAAAATAACTTTATAGGTGTATGAGATTTTCCTATGTCAGCAGCATTCCCTAAATGTCAAAATTAATGTGAACCTGAAAACATGTTGATTCAATACCAAGATAGAAAATATATGTTCTCCTTATCAAGGCTTGTGGGGAGTAGCAATGCCAGCTTAAAGTAATGGTATATGTGACCTCATGTCCTAGTGGTCAGTATGCATGCATTAAATGCAAAATGGTCACCCCATTCTAGGAGCAAGTAAATTGGCTGAAGAACCTTTTTCTAAATTCTGGTCTTCAATTTCCTTATTTATCCCAAATATTCAGCAGAGAATGAGAAAAAGTTATAAATCCCCTATGCTTATAACATAGAGGATTTATAATTTATCCCTATAATTTATCATAAATCCCTTCTAAGGATGACAAGTTCCTAGAGAGACTAGAGAAAAATAGAAAAGGAAAGACAGAAGTACAAGATTCTGGAAAGATTTAAGGAATCAAATTCTGGTTAAAAAAGAATAAAGAAGGTACAAATTGGACACAAAACTTGTAAACTTCCTGTTTAAGAATAACAAGAGGCTGGGCACAGTGGCTCATGCCTGTAATCCCAGCACTTTGGGAGGCTGAGGCGGGTGGACCACCTGAGGTCGGGAGTTCAAGAGACCAGCCTGACCAACATGGAGAAAGCCTGTCTCTACTAAAAATACAAAATTAGCCGGGCATGGTGGTGCACACCTGTAATCCCAGCTACTCGGGAGGCTGAGGCAGGAGAATCGCTTGAATCCGGGAGGCGGAGGTTGTGGTGAGCCGAGATCGCGCCATTGCCCTCTAGTCTGGGCGACAGAGCAAGACGCCGTCTCAAAGAAAAAAAAAAGAATAACAAGAAAATAAAAAATAGAAACGATACATCACAAGAAAATAATAAGGGAGCTACAAACAGTTTTCTTCATTATTTGTGTTTGAAAAGGCACATTAAAAGCCATTTGCAGGTCAGTCGATGGTGGCTCATGCCTGTAATCCCAGGACTTCCAGAGGCAGCAACAGGCAGATCGCTTGAGCTCAGGAGTTTTTTCCTTTTTTTGAGATGGAGTCTCACTGTGTCACCCAGGCTGGAGTGTAGTGGTACGATCTTGGCTCACTGCAACCTCTGCCTCCCAGGTTCAAGCAATTCTCCTTTCTCAGTCTCCCAAGTAGCTGAGACTACAGACATGCGCCACCATGCTTGGCTAATTTTTTTTGGTATTTTTAGTAAACACGGGGTTTTGTCACATTGGCCAGGCTGGTCTCGAACTCCTGACCTCAAGTGATCCACCTGCCTTGGTCTCCTGAAGAGCTGTGATAAGAGGTATGCGCCATCACGCCCAGCTGAGCTCAGGAATTTGAGACCAGCCTGGGTAACATGGCAAAACCCCACCTCTATGAAAAATACAAAAATTAGCCGGGGTGGTGTGTGTCTGTAGTTTCTAGCTACCCTAGAGGCTGAGGCGGAGGATCGCTTAAGCCAGGAAGGCAGAAGTTACAGTGGGCCAAGATTCCACCACTGCACTCCAGCCTAGACCAGACTGGGCAACATAGCAAGGTCCTGTCGCTACAAAAACTAAACAATTAGTTGGACATGGTGGTGTGTACTTGTGGCCCTAGCTACTTGAGAGGCTGAAGTGGGAGGATTGGTTGAGCCCAGGACTTTGTAGTTACTTGATCATGCCACTGCATTCCAGCCTGGGCAACAGGGGAAAACCTTGTCTCTCTGTTTTTGTTGTTGTTGAGACAGGGTTTCCCTCTGTTGCCCAGGCTGGGCTGCAGTGGCAAGATCTCAGCTCGTGCAACCTCTGCCTCCCCAATAAGTGTATTGCAACCTCTGCCTCCCAATAAGTGTATCAAGTGATTCTTATGCCTCAGCCTCCTGAGTAGCTGGGATTACAGGCATGCACCACCATGCCCAGCTAATTTTTTGTATTTTTAGTAGAGATACAGTTTTGGCATGTTGCCCAGGCTGGTCTCAAAACTCCTGGGCTCAAGCAATCCTCCCACCTCCGCCTCCCAAAGTGCTGGGACTACAGGCGTAAGGCATAGTGCGCAGCCTGAGTCTTAATACTTCCATTTCACAACAGAGATACTTGGTTCAGTTTGGGAAACCCTGGTTTAAGACAGCAAATAAGTGTATCTGTAAACTAACAGAGAAGAAACTACCAGTGCTGACATTTATATCTAAAAATTTGGGGTTCTCATTCTGCTGTCTAGAATATTTTGCAAATTCTTGCCTTTCTGACACAACTGTTTCATAGAGGGTATATGACTTAAGTAACTGCTATGCCTGATCTAACAGCATCTGAGAGGGAAGAATTAGTCTGGGCTTGGTGGCTCACATCTGTAATCCTAGCACTTTGGGAGGCCGAGGTGGGTGGATTACCTGAGGTGAGGGGTTCAAGACCAGCCTGGTGAAACCGTCTCTAGTAAAAATACAAAAAGTAGCCGGGTGTGGTGGCACATGCCTCTAAAACCAGCTACTTGGGAGGCTGAGGCAGGAGAATCGCTTGAACCCAGGAGGCAGAAGTTGCAGTAAGCCAAGATCATTGCGCCACTGCACTCTAGCCTGGGGGAGACAGTCAGACTCCGTCTCAAAAAAAAGTTGTGGGGAGGAAGAATTAGTTCATTAAGCTAAAGTGATAGAATATTATTAGAAAGCAGTTCTGAACTTTTGGACTACTAAGGAAGAAAAGATGGCATTAGAAATTATTCTAGGAGGGCAATAAAAGTTAAAAGGTCTGTATGATTCAATGACAGGGGACACCAAATAGAATACAATTCTGAGAATGTAACTGTAGGTGTTACTGATAAGGCCAAGAAAAGTACCTAAGAAACCAATGTGGTTTTGTAGGGAGACACAGAGATAATTAGAATAATCAGAAACTGGTCAGTAACCAGATTCAAAGGAAGTGATTAATGAATCTCTTGTGAGGCTGTATCCTGGATGCACATTTGAGTCAATCAATGATCTGAATGAAGATCCAAACTGCAAATATAAAAAGTAATGAGATTTAATGAATATTTAACAGAGTAAGATATAGGCTGAATTTAACAAGACAAAGTCAAAGTTACCTATGAGGCCCAAAGTTGTCCATGAGCAGTTGGATTAAAGAGAGGCATAGGAACAAGACAGGTAAGAGTTAATGCTATTCTTTTTTTTTTTTTTTTTTGAGATGGAGCCTCGCTATGTCACCCAGACTGGAGTGCAGTGGCGCAATCTCAGCTCACTGCAAGCTCCGCCTCCTGGGTTCATGCCATTCTCCTGCCTCAGCCTCCCCAGTAGATGGGATTACAGGCGCCTGCCACCATGCCTGGCTATTTTTGTATTTTTAGTAGAGACGGGGTTTCGCCGTGTTAGCCAGGATGGTCTTGATCTCCTGACCTTGTGATCTGCCTGCCTGTGCTTCCCAAAGTGCTGGGATTACAGGCGTGAGCCACTGTGCCCAGCTGGAGTTAATGCTATTCGAAATCATGCTCACCTGAGAGCACTGCGTTCTCAGTGTCAAACTTTAAGAACAAACATAGAAAACATTCTGAAGAGGCCTGGGTCAATGAATAGCCTGTTTCTCAGGGAGCACAGCTGTAGGAAATGAAGACAAATAATCCAGATTGTCAGCACAGTAAATGCTCAATGTTTGCTGGATGAACTAATGAAAGAGAAGAAAAGGGAGAGATAAGTGAAGAAGAGATGGGATGTTACACTTTAAAATATTTCAAAGTCTGGCAAGGGAATAGGTATTACGTTAGTCCCATATGGCTTTAGGGAACAATGGGTGCATGTTACAGGGAGACTGTTCAGCTCAGTACACTCAATACAAAGAGAAGGTCAAAGACCCAAATGAGTTACCTTGGAAGGTGACGGGGCACAGTTTCAGTTAATGGTGAGTCACTCCTTTCAGTTCAAGATGGAGGGCCCCTTGATGGATATGTTATAGGGGTAATTCAAGCAGGAACTAGGGAGGTGGACTTCAGTGATATTTATGTTTTTTTCCCCAATCTCAAAACCTAGGCTTCTGTAAATGTTTCCCTAACTAAGGTAACAATCACAATGATAAGAAATAAGTTGGTTGTCAGCAATGAAGTCTATCAAATGGAACAGAGAACTTCAGGGTGTACAGATTCACCCTTAAACAGCTTTTATGAATGAATCAGAACTGAGTCTAAAATGGAAGTATACTTCTTTTCCTGTTTTCTGCCAATTAAGACAGCGGTACTTGTACAATTGAGAGTAAATGTTTCAGAGGCTGATATGACTAGTAATAAAACTCCAGTTTCCCATTTAGCTGGCTCTGCATGCATTACACTCTTTCTCTATTGCAATTCCCCTGTCTTGATAAATTGGCTATATATGAGCAGCAAGCAATATAAACCCATTAAAAAAGAAAAAGAAAGTAAATGTTTCTAAAGGAAACCAAATACATACACAGTTTTCTTTTGTAATTCCAGGGGTGTCATAAAACCAGTGGGCATCTTTCACATCTTGTGCAGTCAATTCTACTTGTTTGGTAGATTTGTGCGTACCCATAACAGGTTCATTTTCCATGTCAAAGGCAAGTGAATCAGCATCAAACTCAAAGGGAACTGTATCCTTCCGTTCTTCTGAATACAAGAATGTCCTTCCAACCCTTCCTAGAACAAGTTATAGTAAGGTTATCAGTCACTCCTTTAATACTTTTGACTCCAGACATAATTTTTATGTTTCCCTCAAACAAGTTACTAAGATTACAGTGTAGGGAAGTGAGACAACAATGATACTTTTTTTTTCTTCCAAAAAGCAATGGGAGTCAAACTCTTGCAATAATCAAGTGTGTGGCTGGCGGTGTACGTGGAGTGGCAGGGGTGAGTGTGTGTGGAAATAAAACTGTTTTAAAGAAAGCCTGAAAAGATATACCAAGGAAAGACAGACAATGTAATCTAAAGCTGCTGCATGGAGTAAAAACTTTTACTACCTGTACCGCTCTGGGTTTCCAAATAGTAGCCTTAGTGCTAAAAGGCCTCTTTGTTGCAGAATGAGGAAGGCAGTCTCTCCTCACAAAAACTGGCTAGCCTTGGACAACCATATTTCACATTGCTTAACAAAGAATTTTAGCATAATACCAACTAGGGTTTTCCCATAGAGGATGCTTACCTACGACATAACCATGCTTTTTCAGGACATTAAGCTGATTTTGTTCTTGCTCACTAAGATCTTCTTCAGCTTGAGTTGAATCTTTTTTAAGTCTTTGATGTCTTTTAAACCTTCTGTAAGGAGTTGGGTTGCAAATGGGAAACTTTAGAAGGTTTAATGTAGTACCTGAAATATACAGAATAAATACATCTTTAGAAAAGGGAATAAGGGGGAAGAAAATGAACATTTTTGAGGATCTACACTGTGTCGGTTACTATAATAAAATATAAAATGACTGACACTTTACAAATGAGGAAATAGGTTAAGAGATTAGCTCACAGGGGAAACCAGAATTTGAATCCAAAATCTGTAGGCCCGATTTCTTTCAATTTTCATCACATTACCATTCAGTATAAAAGTAATATTTGTGTAAAATTCAAAGTGCAAGACAGAGAAGAGCAGCTTACTAAATGAAACTCTGGTTTCAAGGGAACAAATAGGGCAGTTTTGTAAACTTAAATTTAAACGTGGCTGGGCGTGGTGGCTCACATCTGTAATCCCAGCACTTTGGGAGTCCCAAGCGGGTGGATCACTTGAGGTCAGGAGTTCCAGACCAGCCTGGCCAACATGGTGAAACCCCCCTCTCTACTAAAAATACAAAAAATTAGCTGGGTGTGGTGGTGTGCGCCTGTAGTCCAGCTACTCGGGAGGTTGAGGCAGGAGAATCGCTTGAACCCGGGAGGCAAGGGTTGTGGTGAGGTGAGATCACACCACTGCACTCCAACCTGGGCGACAGAGTGAGACTCTGTCTCAAAAAAAAAAAAAAAAAAAAAAAGCTAGAATTACAGATGTGAGCCACTAAGCCCAGCGAAGCCACACATCAAATTGCACTAATGAGCCGGGAGTGGTGGCTCACACCTGTAATCCCAGCACTTTGGGAGGATGAGGTGGGTAGATCACTTGAGGTCAGGAGTTGGAGACCTGCCTGGCCAACGTGGTGAAACCTTGTTTTTACCAAAGATACAAAAATTAGCTGGGCATGGTGGTGCTTACCCGTAATCTCGGCGCTTTGGGAGGCCAAGGTGGGCAGATCACGTGAGGCCAGGAGTTCGAAACCAGCCTGACCGACATGGTGAAACCCCATCTCTACTAAAAATACAAAAATTAGGCCGAGTGCGGCGGCTCACGCCTGTAATCCCAGCACTGTGGGATGCTGAGGCGGGCGGATCACGAGGTCAGGAGTTCGAGACCAGCCTAACCAACATGGTGAAACCCCCTCTCTACTAAAATTACAAAAATTAGCTGGGCATAGTGGCGTATGCCTGTAATCCCGGTTACTCAGGAGGCTGAGGGAGGAGAATCTCTTGAACTCGGGAGGAGGAGGTTGCAGTGAGCTGAGATCTCACGCCACTGAACTCCAGCCTAGGCGACAGAGTGAGGCTCTGTCTCAAAAACAAAACAAACAAAAAAACACAAATTTCATTAGGTTCAGACAGTAAAAAGGGCGCACACTTTCTGAAACAATATACAAAGAAGTTACAAAGCAGATCTCCAGAACAGGAACTTTGTTTTGTTCCCTGGTCTATCTCCAGTGCCTAGTGACTGGGAACAGAGAAGTGCTCCATAAACACTGTAATTAGAAAATTACTACAACACATCCTGAATGTTTCCTAGCAGTAAGCTGACACAGAAGACAGGTGTGACCAGAGTGGGGAGAGAATTTGTAAAGGGAAGGGTACAGGCAGCCCGTAGTGGACATTAAGGGAGGATGTAGTCGGTGCCTCAGCTAGGACCAGACGTCCACCTTGTCAGAAAACGAAGAGGGAGAGCCTCCTAAAACTCACCTGGCCAAGGGGAGATGGTGGCTCTGTCGATGGCCTCGGAGCCCTTGGCGGTGCAGTAATCGGACTCCAGGAGCGTGTTAAAGAGAGTGGATTTGCCGGCGTTGGTGGCGCCCACTAAGTAGACGTCCCCACGGTAGCGCCAGGAGCGCTGAAGGGCAGAGATCAACTCTTCCACTCCATAGCCGGTCTTGGCGCTGATCAGTCGCACGTCTCTGACCACGGTGCGGGACCAGTTCGGCGGATTCGAATTCTCCCCGTCCTGTGGCTCGTTCTTGACGGGGATCTGTGGCCCTTGGTGGCCAGGGGCCAGCAGGAGCCCGGCCCGGGCACAGTCGTCCCACAGTCGCTCCCGCAGCCTCTGCCGGTAGCCAGGAGCATCCTGGGGCAGGAGGTCCACTTTGTTTCCCAGCACGATCAGCTGCTTGGGGCCCACCAGCGCGGGCAAGTCGGGCAGCAGGGCGTCGGGCAGGTCGAGCAGGTCCACCATGTAGAGCACCAGGGAAGGCCCGGGCCGCCGCAACGCGGCGCTCACCAGCTCCAGGTACTGCTCGCGGCTCACCTGCAGGCGTAGAGCGCGCCGGTGGTGCACCAGCAGCCAGCATCGCTGGCACACGGTCCGCGCCAGCCCGCCGTCTGCCTCCGCCGTGTGGAGGAACTTGTCGCAGGGCAGGTAGCCGTGCACGCCGGGGTCCTGGCAGTGCAGCTCTGCCCCGCAGCCCGAGCAGTTCACGCCGCTGGGCGGCACTGCCGCGTCCGGGTGCCCCACGACCGGGTGCTCCCGGGGCCTGGTCCGTAGGTTTTGCTGTCGCCGCTCCTCCCGCCGCTGCTGCCTCTGTCGCTCCTCCTCCTCCTGCTGTTGCTGGAGCTCCTGCATCTGCTCTTCGCGGGTGGGCTCCGGTTCCGGCTCCGGGATGTACTCCGGGAACAGAAAACACTCCTGCATGTCAGCGCCTTCTCCAAAGCCCTCCGTGTCCACGGGGTCATAAGGAAGCTCGCGTCCCAGACTCGATGAGTGCTGGAAGGAGGCGGCGGCAGCGCGCCTCCTCCCCAAGAGCGGCTCCCGGAGGCCATGGCGCGCTGCCGTGGGAGCGAATCCACGAAAGAAAAGTCTCAGCAGTCTGAACTGCAGGCGAGCGGGCAGCATGAGGAAGTAGCTCCGGGCAAAGGGGCGGAGTCACAAGCGCGCACGCGTACTAGGGCCCGAGGCGACGCGCGTGTTAGACCCGAGACGAAAGCGAGTGGGTACTTGGGAGCTGTCCTGGTTAGTTTTGCGTCTAATCTCGTGAGTTCTCGCTATTTAAGCGCCGAGACTGAGAACCTACCTAAAGCTATGGCAAAGGCACTGGAGGCACTGGAGGATTGAGCTAGATGGGCAGAAGAGAGCGATGAGCGTTTTGGGTTTTTTCACTTTCAGGCTTAACGCCTCACTGCTAGCCCAAGCCGCCCGTAATAAATCACATTTAAAAAGGAGCTTCCGGGCCGGGCGCGGTGGCTCACGCCTGTGATCCCAGCACTTTGGGAGGCCGAGGCGGGCGGATCATGAGGTCAGGAGATCGAAACCATCCTGGCTAAGACGGTGAAACCCTGTCTCTACTAAAAATACAAAAAATAAACCGGGCGTGGTGGCGGGCGCCTGTAGTCCCAGCTACTCAGGAGGCTGAGGCAGGAGAATGGCGTGAACCCGGGAGGCGGAGCTTGCAGTGAGCCGAGATCGCGCCACTGCACTCAAGCCTGGGCGACAGAGCGAAACTCCGTCTCAAAAAAACAAAACAAAACAAAACGGAGCTTCCGGCCGGGCGCGTGGCTGGAACGGTAGGCGAGCGGGCAGCTCGCCTCTAATCCCAGCACCTTAGGAGGCCGAGGCGGGCGGATCACCTGAGATCGAGACCAGCCTGGCAAACGTGGTGAAACCCCGTCTCTACTAAAAATACAAAAATTAGACGGGCGTGGTGGCGCGCGCCTGTAATCCCAGCTATTTGGGAGGCCGAGGTAGGAGAATCGCTTGAACCCGGGAGACGGAGGTTGCAGTGAGCCGAGATCGCTCCACTGCACTCCAGCCTAGGCAACAGAACGAGACTCCATTTCAAAAAATAATAAATAAATAAAAATAAAAATTGCTTCGTGTTTTGGTCTTTATAAAGGCAAATCAATTGAGCATCCCAATGTCGCGGATTCACAGAACGAGCACTTTTTATTAATAAGTATACTTGGCTTTGTTTTCAGGTGTCGTTATTTGTGCAACGACATTGAAAAACAAGCAGAAATAAAACATTAACGGGACGGATGCGACAGCAGATTGCGGGAGCTGTCCTCTCAATCAGCCACCGGCAGCGGCGGCCCACAATTTGCGCGTGTGCAACTCAACTCCCGCCCAAGCTTACCTTACAATTTGCGCAGGCGCAGATCCTAACTTTGGCGTCCCTGTGGGCGGCCTCTTGAGTGAGTCGCACAGTATTCTGGGAACGTCGGAGACGGAAGTTACTTGGTCTTTAGCTCCCGGGGCTGGTGGCTTCTGCGCGCTTTTTGTCTTTGATTTCGAGTTAGGAGCTCGGGAACCGTTATGGCAATATGTACGACGCGGATGAGGGTAGGTGAAACACATGCCACGGCGGTCCAGCAGGGAAGCTTGGGGAACTGATTGGATTGAGGATTGGGGCCTTCCCTCGCGCCGGCCGCACAGTCCCTATCCTTGTTCCCACACCTTTCAGGCCGGGAACGAAACTGGGGTAGGGAGAGGCGGAGGGTGCAGGGAACACAGCGTTAATGTTCCCGGTTAGGTTCACTGCTGCTCTCTGCACTTTCTCGTTCCTTTAGATCTGATCCTCGCTTTCCGTAGTGAAGTAGCGTGCAGAACCGTAAGATAAATTCCGTGGTTTTGAATTTGAAGCAAAGAGCGCCCTTTAAAATTTTTCCTTAAAGTCACAGTCGACTTACTGAATAGCTGAAGTGTTGAGTGTCAGCCTGTATCAGGCAGTGTGGAAGGCCCTGGAAATATATCGGGACAGAGAATATCGGAGGGAGGGTGGGGGGACTCGGTTTAGTCTGACATTTCTTCCTGCTGTTTTTAAGTCGAAGTAAATTGTATTAAAGGATGGCGTTTAAATTTCCTCTTCTCACAGTGTCACAGTTCTCACAATGTCACAGTTCTTAGATGATATGTATTCTGCTACACTGGACCAATGTATAATATCTGTTTCTTCGCGCATATAGAATTCTTAGTAGTGGCCGAGCGCGATGGCTCCCACCAGCACTTTGGGAGGCCGAGGCGTGCAGATCGTTTCAGGCCAGCCTGACCAACAGGGGGGAAATCCCGCATCTACTAAAAATACAAAAATTAGCCGAGTGTGATGGCGCGCGCCTGTAATCCCAGTTATTCGGGAGGCTGAGGCCACATCGCTTGAGCCCAGGAGGCGGAGGTTGCAGTGAGCTGAGATTGCGCCTCTGCACCACAGCCTGAATGACAGAGTAACACTTGTCTTGAAAAAAAAAAAAAAAAAAAGAATTCTTAGTTGAATCTAGTGTATTTTCGTAGCTGCCTTTTCCATTCTCCATATCTACTAATGCAAATCTTATTTTCTTCTAGCTCTCAATTCCTTGGCCACCTCTTACATCTCCTCTCTTTATTCCCTCAGCTACTTCTGATAAATGATATGGAAAAAATTGAAGCAAAAGCTTAAACTTTAAAAAAAAGTTTTTTTGAGAGATAGGGTCTGCCCATGTTGCCCAGGCTGTTCTCAAACTCCTGAGCTCAAGCCATCTGCCTGTCTCAGCCTCCCAAAGTGCCGGGATTACAGGCGTAAGCCACTGTGCCCAGCCAAAAACTTAAACTTTTAAAGCTGTTTAAACTTCTGTCTCATTTATATCTTGTGTTCTAGAAATTTATTAGCATCATTATAGTACTTGTTCTTTTTAACTATTATCTCAGTAGAAGAAAAATTCGAAAAAGATTTTTTAAAGCATAATTTTTGGCTAGGTAATATATTCTCAGCTCACAAGCCAGAAAGTTTAAAAATGTTAAAGTGGGGTGGCTGGTACAGTGTCTCACGCCTGTTATCCCTGCATTTTGGGAGCTTGAGGTGGGTGGATCGCTTGAGCTCAGCAGTTCAAGACCAGCCTGGGCAACAGGGGAGACCCCCTCTCTATAAGAAATAGAAACATTAGCTGGGTGTGCTGGTGCTCACCTATAGTCCCAGCTACTTGGGGAGCTGAGGCAGGAGGATCGCTTGAGCCTGGGAAGTTGACACTGCTGTGAGCCAAGAACAAAGTGAGACCCTGTCTCAAAAAAAAAAAAAAATTAAAGTGTCAGGTCTCCTTCTTACCCACCATCTGCCCAGTTTGAACTCTCCACAGTGGGTAACTACTGTTACAATAGATTTTAATCACTCCGCAGTTTCTTTTTTTCTTCTTTTTTTGACAGTCTTGCTCTGTTGCCCAGGCTTGAGTGCAGTGGTGCAATCTTGGCTCACTGTAACCTCCGTCTCCCAGGTTCAAGCAGTTCTCCTGCCTCAGCCTCCCTAGTAGCTGGGATTACAGGCATGCACCAATATGCCCAGCTAATACTAGTATTTTTAGTAGAGACAGGGTTTCTCCACGTTGGCCAGGCTGACCTCAGGTGATTCACCTGCCTCAGCCTCCCAAAGTGCTGGGACTGCAGGTGTGAGCTACTGCGCCCAGCCTCCACAGTTTCTTTATGCATATTTGAGCAAATATAAATGGGATTTTCTCCTTTTTTAAAGACAGAAAGTAATATTCACACTTTTCTCCACTTTTAGATTTTGCTTAATGTATCTAGATTTTCGTATCAGTACACAGAAAGCATCGCCCCCGCCCCTTCGCCCACTCCTCCAGTTACTTAGTTTGTGTGGATGTGCCATAACTTAAGTAGTCTCTTGATGGATATTTGATTTATTTCTAGTCATTTTCGGGTTCAGTGCTGTAAATGAATAATCTTGTACATATAATTTGCCCAAGTATGCATTTCTACATATAAAATTGTCACGTCAAATGATATACACCTTTAACATTTTGCTAGATGATGCCAAGTGACCACCATAGTGGTGATTTGTACTAGTTTTGCAATGTATAATGATCTCGTGGAAAAAAGAGTTTATCATAGTTGCTTTAGCAGTGAACCTACATTTTATTCTTGCCCATGTCCTCTGAAATGTTTATTAGATAATGTCCTCATCAGTTTTCAGCCACTATGTGAAAATGTCAGATTTCTGTCATCCACATGGAAACAAGTTAAACTTTTCATTTTTTCCTTTTTCTTCTAGTATTTTACCTTTCTCCTTTCATTCACAGCCAAACATAAAAATAATAAGCTGTCCTTGTTTCTAATTTTCATCTTTCATGTCCTTTTCAACTGATTACAATATGTTTCTACTCATGCTACTGCATTAAGATAGCTCTAAGATTGACAGTACTTCTCAATTGATAAATGAGATGGATATTTAAAAAATCTTATCTAAACCCTGTGGTCTTCAAAACTGTTGATGACATCCTCCTGGCAACTCACTCAGCTTTCTAGCCACATCACTTCCACTTGATTCTTCTTATCTGACTTTTGTTCTCATTTTCTTTCCTGTTTACATTCTCTTTGGGTGATCTCATCCATTTTCCATTGTTTAGTTACCATTTGTATGTGGATGACTTCTGAATGTATACTTCTAGTTTAAAAGCCCTGGTATCTAACTGCCGCTGGCCAACTAGGATATCTCCCAGGCTGCTTAACCTTGTCACTGCCCAAACTGAGCTAATTATTTAGCTATTCCCCTCCCAAAGTCACTGCCTCCTGTGTTCTCTGTCTCGGTGAAGGGCACTGTTGGCCCTCTGTATCTGTAGGTTTCACATCTGTATATTCAATTAATCTTGGATTTAAAATATTAAAAAGCTTGAGGCCAGGAGTTTGAGACCAGCCTGGGCAACATAGGGAGACCTCATCTCTACAAAAAAATTTAAAAATTAGCTGGGCATGGTGGTGTGTACCTGTGATCCCAGTTACTTGGGATACTGAGGTGGGAGGATTGCTTGAGCCCTAAGAGTTTGAGGCTACAGTGAGCTGTGATCACACCACTGCACTTCAGCCTGGGTAACAGTAAGGCCCTGTCTCAACAAAAAAGAGACTATTAGAAAAAAATTGTGTCCTTGTAAAAATGTACAGACTTTTTTTCTTGTCATTATTCCATAAACATTACAAGTAAACAACTCTTTACATAGCATTTACATTGTATTAGGTATTATAAGTAATCTAGAGATAATTTAAAGGATACAGGAGGATGTGCCTAGGGTATATAACAGTGCCATTTCATGTCAGGGACTTAAGCATCCGTGTTTTGGTATCTATGGGAGGTCCTGAAACCAGTCTCCAATGGACACTGAGGTACAACTGTTGTACCCTCTGTTGTTGAAATCAAAAACCTGGCCATCATTTTTGACTCATCTCTTTCACCTCTATATCTAATCAGTCACCAAGCCCTGTTGGTTCTGTCTCCTAAATACGTCAAATCTGGTCACTTCTCTATCCCCTTCACCATCATTCTAGTTCATGTTGCTGCCATCCCTTGCCTAGATGACTCCTAACTGATTTGTGTACTTCCAATCCATTCTCCACACTGGCCATAGGGATCTTTCAGAAACGAAAATGTGACCTAGCCACAACCCTGCTAAACTGAAATCTCTTGATAAAGGCCAAACTCTTCTTATTCCACTTCCAACTTCACACTCTGTGCTTCCGCTACATTGACCTTCTGTCATTCTTTGAATATGCCATCCTATCTTGCATTATGGGGTCTTTTGCATAATTTGGTTTTTTCTATTCGGTAGGGTTCTTTCTTGACTCCTCCTACCTTTTTCCCTTCCTTTTGCCTTTCGGTAGGTTCTTTCTTGACTCCTCCTACCTTTTTCCTTCCTTTTGCCTCCCGGTTTATAACATGAGGTCTCTGCTCAGCTTTTTTTTTTTTTTTTTTTTGAGATGGAGTTTCCCTTTGTCGGCCCAGGCTGGAGTGCAGTGGTGCGATCTTGGCTCACTGCAACCTCCGCCTCCCAGGTTCAAGTGATTCTTTACCAGCCTCCTGAGTAGCAGGGATTACAGGCGTGCTCCACCATGCCTATCTAGTACTTTTGCATTTTTAGTAGAGACGGGTTTCACCGTGCTGGCCAGGCTGGTCTCAAACTCCTGACCTTGTGATCCATCTGCCTCGGATTCCCAAAGTGCTGGGATTACAGGCGTGAGTCACTGTGCCTGACCAGCTTTTTAAAGACAATTTTAGAGACGGGGTCTCGCTTGTGGCTCAGGCTGGTCTCGAACTCCTGGTTTCAAGTGTGCCTGCCACCTTGGCCTTCCAGTGGTGGGATTACTGACATGAGCTACTGTACCTGGCCTCTGCCCAGCTTTTGGGAAGTCTTCCCTAACCTCTTCAGGTCTTTGTCAGGAATATTCATATCACTTTTTTTTCTTTTTTTTTTTGAGACAGAGTCACACTCTGTCACCCAGGCTGGAATGCGGTGGCATGATCTTGGCTCACTGCAACCTCTGCCTTCTGGGTTCAAGCGATTCTCCTGCCTCAGCCTCCCTAGTAGCTGGGACTATAGGTGGGTGCCACCATGCCTGGCTAATTTTTGTATTTTTAGTAGACATGGGTTTTCTCCATATTAGCCAGGCTGGTCTTGAACTCCTGGTCTCAAGTGATCTGCCTGCCTTGGCCTCCCACAGTGTTGGGATTATAGGCATGAGCCAGTGCACCCAGCCTCAAAAAAAATTTGATGAACGGATGAATAAATGAGTCTCTTTCATGGGTTCATTTTCCTTCATATGACTCTTAAAGTTGTTCCCAGATATCCTGCCTTCAGTCTTCCTTCTCTATGTACAATCTCATTTTTCTCCCACACATTTGTTAATGATTCCAATTCTGTACTTTTTTTTTCAAATTTTAAAATGTTTATTTTATTGACACAGATACACGTGTTATATGCCAAGGTGTATCTATTGTGTGTCACATGTTGTCTATAATTTAGACTCTTCATTTGAGTTTATATTCGTATATATGTGCCTACTAGAAGTATTTGAAGGGATATGTGATCTATAGATATCTCTAAAGCCGATCTCAGTACCTCTCCTTTTTCCACCATCTTACTTGCATCTCTGGTATGGCAGTGATACTAACTTTTAATCTCTCATCAAAGCTGGAAATCTCTGAGCTATTATAGATAACTTTGTCTTTCTTACCCTTCCCCCAGGTATAGGGATTAATAATTCCAGTCCATTTAAGAAGGGTTTATTAAAAATTTATTTTGTATATGTATCAAATTTTGAACCCAAAGTTTTACAGGCTATGTATGTGTACATTAGAATAAAAACCAAAAATACAGCACACTTATTCTTTCACATGAGACGATGGGATTAATATTAGAGGACCAGTGCATACTGATTTTTTTGAATGCATATTTAAATTACTGTTGCATAACTACCCGAAAATTTAGCTACTTAAAAAATTATTTTGTTATGTTCATGGATACTGTGGGTCAGGAATTTGGACAGGACTTGCCTGCCTTCCACCGTGACTGGTTCATTTGAGAAGACATTAAGGCCGACTGTTGACAGCTGGGTGAGAGATGATCTGTAGTGTTGACTCTCATGTCTGACATGAGACATAGCTTGGGAGGACTCAAGGACTAAAATTGCTAATGGAGCATCTGTAAGTGACCTCTCCTTATGGTTCGGGCTTTCTCAGAATGTAGCAGCCTCAGAATAGTGTATGACTTTAAAAAAAAATTTTTTTTTTTTAATTTAAATTTTTGAGACAGAGACTCTCTCTGTTGCCCAGGCTGGAGTGCAGTGGTGCAGTGTCAGCTCACTGCAACCTCTATCTCCTGGGTTCAAGCAATTCTCTTGCCTCAGCCTGATGAGTAGCTGGGATTACAGGCATGCGCCACCATGCCCGGCTAATTTTTGTATTTTTTAGTAGAAACGGAGTTTTGCCATATTGGCCTGGCTGGTCTCGAACTCCTGACCTCAGGTGATCCACCCACCTTGGCCTCCCAAAGTGCTAGGATTATTATAGGCCTGAGCCACCACTACTTTTTAATGACAGCTTAGGGCTCCAGAAAGTGTTTTAGCAAACATGACAGAAACTTCATCGCCTTTTCTGACCTGGCTTCTGAAGTCATGCAGCATTGCTTCAGCGGCATTCTCTTAAGTCACAGGAGAGTCAGAATCTACCTGATTCAAGGAGAGGGTGCATAGACCACTATATCTTATGATGGGAGTGTCAAGATCACATTATAGAAGGCCATGTGGGATGGGAGATAGGCTAGTGGCCATCTTTGGAAAATGTAATCTTTCATACCTGTACATGTATGAAATGTTGCTGTTAGATCGCCCCACCTCAGGGTATTATTGCCCAGCTGTTGGAATTCTTCCATGGCTCTGCCCCCTCATTCTGTCTCTTACTGTAGTCTCTGAAAATCTTACTGATCAATAAAATGGAAAACTTAAAATTCATACAACTTACATTAAAACTCTCTAATAAACCTCTTCGTATATTGGAAGAATACCTGTGTGACATAGACATAAATTATTTTATTAATGTAATTGAAATTTTAGAGAACCTGGGGTGAAAGCATTACTTATTCAGCAGAAAGTAAATATGTTTCTGCTACTTAAAGTTATAGGAGCAAGATGTTAACTAAGTGGCATCTCATTGCAAATGAGTACAATATTTTGTTTTTACAGATATGCAATATGATGAGGATGATGATGAAATCACCCCGGATTTGTGGCAAGAAGCATGCTGGATTGTAATTAGGTAACTTTGGACCAAACTGAATTAGCTTGAAAAGGCAATGTAGATTTCCTGCTTATTCTTCTTGATAAATAGCTGCTCTATATAAATATGCTACATGACAGTAGTTATTTTATTTATATATTTAACATTTTAAGTAATTCAGACCTAAAAATTAAGACAAAGAATTCATTTAATCACTTCACCCAGATTCCGAAAATGTTACCCCATACTACATTTCTTTGTCTTTTCTTCTTTTGGTACATATTTTTTTCTGAAACATGTGAGAATAACTTGCAGATCACTTGATCCTGGGAGGTTAAGGCTACAGTGAGCCAAGATTGCACTGCCGTACTCCAGCCTTAATGACAGAGTGAGACCCTGTTTCCAAAAAAAAAAAAAAAAAAAAAAAGAGTAACTTGCAGACATAAGGACATTCTTTTACATCATCACAATTATGGTGATCTTATTTAATCTGTAGACTCTACCCACATTTTGCCAGTTGTTCCACTCATGTTTATAGCAAAATAAAAATTTTTCTGACCCTGGATCCAGCCTAGGATCACATACTGGATTTAGTTGTCATGGCATATTCTTCTATTTCCTTTAATCTGGAACAGTTCCTCAGTGTGTCTGTTCTTTTTTTTGTACCTTGACATTTTTGAAGAATACATGCCAGTTACTTTTTAAGATGCCTTTCAGTTAGGTTTGTCTAATAGTTCTCATAATTAGATTCAGATGATTACTTTTGGCAGAAGTGGCATAGTCTCAGTGCATCATATCAGGAGGCACGTTTGTTTCATTACTAGTAATGTTAATTTGATTGCTTGGTTTTCTCATTATTTTAAATAGACAAAGTTAAAATTGGTTTTTAACTTTGTTAAAAACAAATTTGTTAAAATTCACTGCAAATTCCCATCCAATTCTAAGTGTAACTAAATGTGGTAAAATTCTGAGAAGCCTTGTATAGGTAAGAAAAGTAACTTATAAGTGATAAAGTAACATCCTGTTATGTTAGGATGTTAAAGGCTTATAACTCTTCTCTCATCCCCTGCTTTATATACAACAACACGACGATGGATGCCTCTCTGAGCCCCATCAGCTCCAAGGTGCATGACCTCTTGGTCAACATTCTCTCTTTTCAAAGAACACATGCTTCCGACATTCTGCCAGTTGTATTTGGAGTCTAACTGAATACCTTTCTTGAATGTTGTTTTGTTAGAAAGATTGTTTTGCCTGTAATCCCAGCACTTTGGGATGCTGAGGCAGGCAGATCACTTAAGGTCAGGAGTTGGAACCAGCCTAGCCAACATGGTGAAGCTCTGTCTTTACTAAAAAGTAAAAAAATTAGTTGAGTGTAGTGGTGCACGCCTGTAATCCCAACTACTTGGGAGGCTGAGGCAGGAGAATCACCTGAACCTGGGAGGCAGAGTTTGCAGTTAGGTGACATGACGTCACTACACTCCAGCCTGGGCGGCAGAGCGAGACTCCGTCTCAAAAAATAAAAAAGATATGATTCAGTGTGTTTGTCCAGAATCTTACAAAAGAAAGTATTGAAAGCTAGGTGCTGTGGTGTGTGCCTGTATAGTCCCAGCTACCTGGGAGGCTGAGGCAGAAGGATCACTTGAGCTCACGAGTTTGAGTGTTGCCTGGGTAACATAGTGAGACCTTGTCTCTAAAAATAAATAATAATAAAAAAAATTGAGTTTTTGGGATATAAGTATATATTTTTCCATAAGGAGTGGGGGTGAGAATGGGAGCTCTGTTTCTGGTGGCAGGGTTTGGAGAAGGGGCAGGGGCAGCAGTTGCCACGTTTGGTTGCAGAGGTGGCAAGAAGCCCGTGAAACAGCCGAAGAAGCAGGCCAAGGAGATGGATGAGGAAGACACAGCTTTCCAGCAGAAGCAAAAAGAGGAGCAGAAAAAGCTTTAAAATTGAAGGCTGTGGGGAAAGGGCCCCTGGCCACAGGTGGAATTAAGACATTTGGCAAAAAGGCTTGATGAGGTGGCTCACGCCTGCCCGTAATCCCAACACTTTGGGAGGCTGAGGCGGGTGGATCACTTGAGCTCAGGAGTTTGAGACCAGCCTGTGCAACATAGCCAGACCCTCTCTCTCTCTCTTTTTTTTTTTTTAAACAAAGAATAAAAGAAATCTGGCAAAAAGTCAGCTTTTCTTTGTGCCTGAGGTGATGGTAACCTTTGATTCCATTTGTATTTAAACATCTGTATTCTCTGCCGTACTATCTTTTGCCACCTATAGCTAGAATGAAGCATTGTCTTGGAGCCTTTTAGAAATACAAAAAATAAAACAAATTGACTGTAGAAGACAAAACTTTATTGAGACAGTTACATCTTCTGTGATGTTTGGGTGTTAAACACCAAGAGGTATTTTATTAGGAAACAATAATCAGGTAGATGTTCTGTGGAGTGTGCCTATATTCTACATTCTTCTAGTAGAAAAAATATTTTATCTTAGAAGAAGAAGAAGTTTTCAACATATGTGGTAGATTGCTCAAGGATAAAGTACTCTATTGTGAACTGTCATAGCATTTATCATTTGTTACAAAATAAGTTATTTGATTTTTAAGTTTAAATTGACTGTAGATACTTTGGTTATTGAGAAATGAATTTTGATTTTTTTTTTACTTTTCAATACCAAGTGATCTTTACCTAGCAATGTGAATGTGATATTAGTTAATATCACAAGTAACTGCATACGATGACTTCAGGTAAAATAAGCACTAGAGTAGATATAAATATGAAATATTTATATAGTTTAGGTGTTTAAGCACCATTCTAATGATTTTGGGGAAAGTAGGTATAGTTCAGCTTCCTGGGGTAATGAAACTTATCTATAGTTTAGAAGCTATTTCCTCTTAAATTGCCTATAAAAAACCATTGCTATTTATATTACAGGCAATGCCATGTTTTTCTTACACATCAATAACTAATCCACATGATTATGAGAAATTTCTTTCCTAATATGTGACAGTCTCTACTGAAATAAATTGCCTCAACTACTATTTAGTTCATACCTTACACATGTATGGTTGTCTGCTGTGCTTTCTACCATAGAATCTAACTTCTCATAGTGGTGGCCGTACTTGACTGGATCAGGGTGGGGCCGATTTGTTGGCCTGTCACTGATGTGTGAGGTGATGAAGCCAAAATGGGAGGCTGATGATTAGTTGGACTCTGCATATTGTCTCAGAAAATTGATGTGAAGATGGGGGAGTCAGTAGTTGGGGAGCAGAAGCTAAGTAGTCTCACAGATACAAGATGACAGAGGTCACAAGATACAGGAGTGGAGATGTGGAGGTGTGGTGGGGCACTTCCTACTGCTGAGGGGTGATGGGATAATCTTGAGGGTTGTGCTAGATCCTCCAGCCTCTCTGAAGCCCAGCTTTGCGGCTATTCCTGGATGGTAATAGGGAGTGATCTGTTGAGATCCTCTTGCACTTGTATCTACTTGTATCTTTATGTCTTTCCATACCCCTCACCTGAAAAGTATCTGTTCCTTATAAAAATAATGTCTACTCTTTAGATTATAGATCTCTCAGCCATGCTACATTTTTATCACCAGTCTTTTGCTGAGTATTTTTATGTAAAGACTTACTCTTCTTATCCCACCTTTAACAATTCAAAATAGAACTAATGATTGGTAACCTAAAGTTGGTATTCTCACGCATTATTTTAGTCATTGATATCACTATCCCCCCTCCTATTCAAATCAAAGTTCTTATTATCTTTGGCTATTGATTTTTCTTTAGTTTTATCTCCTGACTCATTTTTCAAGAAATATTTCAAAGAGGTAGAATAAAATTTGTCCATAGAGGACATACATTTTTTTTTTTCTTTGAGATGGGGTCTCGCTGTCTCCCAGGCTAGAGTGCAATGATGCCATCATGACTCAATGCAGCCTCAAACTCTGGGCTCACATGATCCCCCTACCTCAGCCTCTTGAGTATGTGGGCCTATAGGCACATGCCACCATACCTGGCTAATTTTTTTATTTGTAGAAATGAGGTCTCATTACGTTGCCCAGGCTGAACTCAAGCAATGCTCCTGCATTGGCCTTCCAGGAGCTGGGATCCTTATAGTTCTTATATCGTGCTTTAAGTATTTTACCCACAAATATAAGCTGCTTTTCCCCAAATAATAAGTTCTACAAAGAAAATGTGCCTGGTTTCATCCTTTTTAAGATAGATCACAGTATCTTGTTTAGTGGTTGACATATAATGGTTGGTATTTAATGACTGTTGAATTGATTATAATGAAAATGGGGAATTATGCTAGAAATTATCACTGAGTTGCAACTGACTGAACTCAAATATTTTCCCAGTTCCTATTTTGACGAGAAAGGCTTGGTCAGACAACAGCTGGATTCTTTTGATGAGTTTATTCAGATGTCTGTTCAAAGAATTGTGGAAGATGCTCCTCCTATAGATCTACAAACTGAAGCTCAGCATGCTAGTGGAGAAGTTGAAGAACCGGTAAGATGGTTAGTTCTAATAGTTACACCGGTACAAGAAGAGTATTGGTTTGAAATTTCAACCCTTCTGTTAACTGACTTAAAGGTTAAAAAAAGTCAGTTGGAGCTTTTAGCAAAGTACTTACAGCACTGTCAGTCACTTTCTGATTTATTCTCTCTAATGAGGAGGTGTATTTTTTTTTCAAGTAATCCCATCCTTGTTCACATAGTAGGTATTGAATAGTTGGGAAGAGAGGACTCTGAAATATGAACAAATAAGAGAAGTGAGCCAGAGATAGTCACGTTGCTTTAGATAGATAACCCCACTTTTTTCTCTCACATTATAAAAATGATAAAAAAATGTTTGAAGGAATTTTCGTCTGATTTTATGTATTGCATGAAGTACATTATTATAACCATATGAGGTAAGAAAGGTAAATCACCCAAACATATCAGCTATCTTTATTAAGCTTCTTATAGCTTTTGCTCACATATATGCATGTTTTTTAGCATTGTTAAAATCATACCAAGGGTATAATTTTATAATTTGGTTTTATATGAGTGATTATAAATAAATATGTAGTCCAAAATAATGACTGTCCTAGTTTTAGAGAAGTTGAGAGGCAGTTGTTGGAACATATTGGGCTTTGAGAGACAGGGAAAACTGAAAAACAAAGTGAGGTAGGGAAAGCCCCCCAAAAAGAGACACAGAGAGAGTTCATTGTTTCTAGCCTGATCAGTTTCTCTTCGGTGTAGCTGATCTCCTAAGGGCTGGTCTGTTATTTCCATTTTAGTTAGACATGCTGTACGGAATTTTGCTATTAAGAACGAAAGCGATTGGCTCTTCTAGGGCTCTGCTGGAAAGGGGGTCATTAAGTTTCTTTTTTATTCTTGGGTCATATTTTCTTTTTTACAGGGATGACAGGCGTCCACCACCACGCTTGGCTAATTTTTTTGTATTTTTAGTAGAGACAGGGTTTCACATGTTGGCCAGGCTGATCTCCAACTCCTGACCTCAAGTGATCCACCCCCTTCAGCCTCCCAGAGTGCTGGGATTACAGGCATGAGCCACTGCACTTGGCTTGTTGGGTCATTTTTTCTTCATGATTTTTGTATAACAAGCGAAATAACAATAGAACGTAGCAAATTCAATGTGCCAGTAATGGAAGTACTAAAGGAGGAGGAGATCTCTGAGGCTTAGTTATCAGAGCTTAGTAGAAAAGATGGAAGAGACTTAAATTTACTGTGAATAACAGATAGGAGTTCTCTTAGAAGAGAAAAGGTGCTTAGTCATTTCAGCAAGGAAATATTTGGCGTCGCCGCGTGGTGGCTCATACCTAGAATTTCAGCTCTTTGGGAGGCCGAGGCGGGCAGATCACCCGAGGTCAGGAGTTTGAGACCAGGCTGGCCAATATGGTGAAACCCGCTTTCTACTAATAAAGTACAAAAATTAGCCAGGCGTGGTGGTCGGCACCTGTAGTCCCAGCTACTCGGGAGGCTGAGACAGGAGAATTGCTTGAACGTGGGAGACGGAGGTTGCAGCGAGCTGAGATCGCAGCCACTGCACTCCAGCCTGGGTGACAGGACGAGATGCTGTCTCAAAAAAAAAGAAAAAAAAGAAAAAAAAAAAGAAAATACCTGGTATATTTAGGCTGGGGATGGGATGGGGACCAGAATGATCAGTATGTGATTTTGGCTTACCTAATTTTTTTTTTTTTTGAGGCGGAGTCTGGCCGTATTGCCCAGACTAGAGTGCAGTGGCGCGATCTTGGCTCACTGCAAGCTCCGCCTTCCGGGTTCATGCCATTCTCCTGCCTCAACTTTCTGAGTAGCTGGGACTACAAGCGCCTGCCACCATGCCCGGCTAATTTTTTTGTATTTTTAGTAGAGACAGGGTTTCGCGGTGTTAGCCAGGATGGTCTCGATCTCCCGACCTCATGATGTGCCTGCCTCCGCCTCCCAAAGTGCTGGAATTACAGGGCTTACCCATTTTTACTAGGCATTAGGAAGATAAGATGGAACCCGATTGTTGAAAGCTTTGAATGTCATTGGATGTTATGAGGAATTACTGAGAGATTGTCAAAGAATATACATAAAGCATTATTTTAGAAAAGTTACTTTCGAAAGCGATGCTTACTTGGAATAGAAAGAGGCTAGAGGAGGCCTGGTGCAGTGGCTCACGCCTGTAATCCCAGCAGTTTGGGAGGCCTAGGCAGGCAGATCTCTTGAGGCCAGGAGTTCGAGACCATCCTGGCCAGCATGGTGAAACCCCATCTTTACCAAAAAAATACAAAAATTAACCGGGTCTGGTGGCGCGCGCCTGTAGTCCCAGCTACTCGGGAGGCTGAGGCAGGGGAATCACTTGAACCCAGGAGGCGGAGGCTGCAGTGACCCTAGATCACACCACTGCACTCCAGCCTGGGTGGCAGAGTGAGACCCTATCTCAAACAAAACAAAACAAAAGAGGCTGGAGGAGATAAAAATCAGAATAGCCTATGATTAAGATAGTAATGACCTAGACTAGATGATGGCACAGATAAGGAGTAGAGGGTTGGCCTCCCTTTGGTTCATTATCACCACCGCTCTCTTTGCCCTTTGTCTACCCCAGCTTGGGAGACTTGAGTATCAATAATTAATCATTAGTAAAACATCTGCTCAGTTCTATTTTCTTCTCTGAGACTTGATTTAGAGAAAAGTACACTATCCATTTATCTGTAGAAAGTTGTCCTCATGGATCTTGTTTTATTAGGCAGCAAGTGAATGTTTAATTGAAAAATTTCTTTTTTTGCTATGGACTAAGCTATATTCCAGCCGGGGATGGAAGTTCTCAGCCCTTTATATAGAATGTTTAGGATATTTTTTGTGTTTTTTAAAATAAAATTTTTTTCTTTTGTTTACTCGTTTGACAGATTAATTTGTATGTTTAATTGAAGAGTTAGGTTTATTTTTTAAAATGTTCTATTGATTAGATTAGAGCACAGTTCTAGTTGTCTGGATTTGCTATCTTTGTTCTCTGGTCAGTTTGTAGTTTTGATGACGCTTACCAAGGAGAGGGCACAAGAAACTATGTAGATCATTAATGTAAATCCATTTTAACTGATATAAACTCAGCACATGATGTGTACAGTCTTTGTTTACTTGTAGTATATTAAGTCTCTTTTTGTCTTCTGCTTTAAGAAAGCAATTAGCAGATCCTTTTGTAGTTGGTAAGTGTGATGATTGGGTTTGAGATAGATGTGCCTTCCTTAAACCTTGTTACAAACCTTGTTAGCACATTACCTGTCTAATGTGAAAATAAATTTTTAAGAAAAGAGGAAAAAAGAGAAAGTGATATGGTTTAAAACTTGACATCTGTGCGGTATGGATACTGACTTTGAGAAGTCCCCATTTCAGTAAAATGGATGAATTTTGCCAGTTTGTAGAGCTGCTTCTACTTAAAATGTTAATGTCAATTAAAATGGAATCATTAAAACTTTTATGGAAAAAATTATTTACTCTTTTCATGTTTTTTTGTTTCATTTCAGCCAAGATATTTGCTGAAGTTTGAACAAATTTATCTTTCCAAGCCTACCCACTGGGAAAGAGATGGTGCTCCTTCACCAATGATGCCCAATGAAGCTAGATTAAGAAATCTCACGTAAGAAAAAAGTTTTCCTTGTCAGCATTAGATACTGAACTAGAATTCTGAAAATGTAATTTTAACCACTTGAGGGTTTGTTTTAACAGATAACCTATTGCTTAACTGTGATCTACTTTTATCTTCAAAGGTATTCTGCTCCGCTTTATGTTGATATAACAAAAACAGTCATTAAAGAAGGTGAAGAACAACTTCAGACTCAGCATCAGAAAACTTTTATAGGAAAAATTCCAATTATGTTGCGGTCAACTTACTGTCTTTTGAATGGCTTGACAGATCGTGATCTTTGTGAGTTAAATGAATGCCCTTTGGATCCTGGTGGCTATTTCATTATTAATGGATCAGAAAAGGTATAGTAACATTATTTTAAAAAATGACAAAATGGTAGTTAAAATTTAGTTTAAAGTTGAAATAAAAAAAAAAAGATTTTCATGCAGGATAACCTGGCAGTGACAGTTGGCTTATTTAGGGTATGACAGCTAAACTTATATAAAGCAAATCTTTATTTAGTTGTATATAATATGCACTGGAAATTTGGTCAGTTTCAGTTGGTTTTGGAGCTTATGTATTTCTATGAAGTGTTTATGCAAAATGGAGTTTTTAAAGTTGAAGAATTAAATATTTCAGTGAGCCTTTATGATCAGATTAAATTAAGACGCAGATTTTACTCTCTTTTCTCTTCAGTGACCTTTTGGATTTTATGGCTATAACCTTCTTATTGTCCAAATAGGTTCTGATTGCCCAAGAGAAAATGGCAACAAACACAGTTTATGTGTTTGCCAAAAAGGACTCTAAATATGCCTACACAGGAGAGTGTAGATCATGTCTGGAGAATTCTTCCCGACCCACCAGTACTATATGGGTTAGCATGCTGGCAAGAGGAGGACAGGTATGGACTGGATATGATGTTATTTGGGTTTATTCCTTTGTGCCTTGTTTTAAAATTCACTAGACTGCATTCTCGGTCCAAAAAAGCTTTTCTGGAGCAATATTGTTGTTATATATTGTATCGTTTACCTATCGCTGTGTGACAAATTACTCTTCCAGCAACATTTATCATCTCACGGCTTCTGTGAGTCAGGAATCTGGGTGCTGCTTAGCTGAATCTTTTGGCCAAGCATCTCTCACAAGGCTGCAATCAGATGTTTCCCTGGGCTGCCGTCATCTCAAGAGCCATTCACATGGTTGTCTGCAGGATTTAGTTCTTGATTGACTATTGGACTGAGTCTCAGGTCTTTGCGCGCTGTCGGCTGGAAGCCTTTCTTAGTTCTTTGCCATGTGGACCTCTGCGTATAGCAGCTGACAGCAGCAGAGCAGCTTGCTTCTTCAGAGAGAGTAAGCAAAAAGAGCTATAGAGAGAGAGTACAAGCAAGGTAGAAATCAGTCTTTTATAACTTAAAAGTTGTAGCAACATTCTGTCATTTTTGCCATGTTCTTTTTGTTAGTTGCAAGTCACTATGTCCAGCTCACACTGTGAGGAGGATATTACAAGGGCAATAGTAGGAGGCAGGAATCACTGGGTACCAGCTTAGAAGTTGCAGACCACTGGTATAGTTATAAGCATAGGTTGCTTATAATAATGGAATCTAGTAGTAGCTAGCAGTTCTTAAATATTTGCTGTATGCCAATTCTGTTACTCAGATTGCTTGATTTAATCTTTACAGCTATCTTGGAAAACCTCTATTTCAGTTATATGTGTGTGTGTGTGTGTGTGTGTGTGTGTGTGTGTGTGTGTGTATACATATCTGTTTTCTTTTTTTTTTGAGACAGTCTTGCCCTGTCACCAGGCTGCAGTGCAGTGACATGAGCTTAGCTCACTGCAACCTCCGCCTCCCTAGTTCAAGTCATTCCCCTGCCTCAGCCTCCTGAGTAGCTGTGACTACAGGCGCACACCACCACACCCGGCTAATTTTTCGTGTTTTTTAGAAGAGATAGGGTTTTACCATGTTGGTTCAGGATGGTCTCGATCTCCTGACCTTGTGATCTGCCCTCCTTGGCCTCCCAAAGTCCTGGGATTACAAGCATGAGCTACCGTGCCTGGCCAGGAGTTTTAAATAATTAAAATGGTTTTTATTTGTGAATGGTTTTTGGTAACTGGTGTTTCCATTTGTTTTTTGTAATTTTTTTAAAAAGCTTTATTTTCAATTTAATTTAATAATTATGCATGTGTGGGATGCAGTGTGATGTTTTGATACATGTATACAATGTATAATGATACTAGGGTACTTAATGAAATTAGGGTACTTAACATGTTTTTAATAATATTTTATTTGTAAAAAATAAAATTTGTAAGGTAAGCATTCTTCCCCTGTGCACAACATTGCTGGGTATTGTAAGAGATCATCAAAACACACAATCCTTATTGAGAAGGTGGCCAGGTGTGGTGTCTCATGCCTGTAATCCCAGCACTTTGGGAGGCTGAGGTGGGTGGATTGCTTGAGCCCGGGATGTGAGACCAGCTTGGGCAACATGGCAAAACACTTTCTCTAGCAAAACAACAACAAAAACCCCAAAATTAGCTGGATGTGGTGGCAGGCGCCTGTAGTCCCAGTTATTCAAGAAGCTGAGGTGGGAAGATAGCTTGAGTGCCGAGGTTGCAGTGAGCCCAGATTGGCGCCACTGCACTCCAGCATGGGTGACAGAGCCAGACCCTGTCTCAAAAAAAAAAAAAAAGAAAGAAAGAAAAAACAGAAAGTAATGGTTTTATTGGGAATACAAGCTTTAGGCATTAAATGATAGTAACACAGTGCAGAGGCCAAATGACACCTTTTACATATATTAGTTTTATAGAAATTTGGAGGAGAATGAGATACTAGTATGGTGTGGTCCATGCAAAATTTTTTTTTTTTTTTTGAGACAGAGTCTCACTCTGTTGCCTAGGCTGGAGTGCAGTGGCACGATCTCGGCTCAGTGCAACCTCTGCCTCCGGCGTTCAAGTGATTCTCCCGCTTCAGCCTCCCGAGTAGCTGGGATTACAGACACCCACCATCACGCCTGGCTTTTATTTATATATATATATATATATATATTTTGTAGTTTTAGTAGAGACAGGCTTCCTCCATGTTGGCCAGGCTGGTCTCGAACTCCTAACCTCGTCATCCGCCCACCTCAGCCTCCCAAAGTGTTGGGATTACAGGCGTGAGCCCCTGCGCCCGGCCCATAAATTTTTATTTTTTTTTTAGAGACAGGTTTTTTATGTTTTTTTTTTAGAGGCAAGGTCTCGAGCTCCTAGCCTGAAGCAATCCTCCTACCTCCACCTCCCAAAGCACTGGGATTACAGGTATTATCCACCGCGCCCGGCCCCAGCTAATAGAACGGAATTGAATTGTAGTGTACACCCAGCTGGTGTCTGCAGAGGACCGGAGAATCGCTTGATGTAGGAAGAATGGCCCCACTAGCTCCCCCATCTGGTGTAAGAAGTGAAGTGGCCAGAGGTATTTGTGCAGCATAGCATGGGCGGGGGGCGGGGGAAACGCAAGTATTTTCCTTTAGCTAATGTAGGGAAAGAAACACCTTTTTTTCCTAAACAGCTATGTCTCTAATTTTTAAATAAATGGGATCATAGCATTTGTATTATTCCCTAACTTGCTTTTTTAAGTTAATGATGTGTCTTGAATATCTTTTCATGGGCGGGCACCGTGACTCACGTCTGTAATCCCAGCACTTTGGGAGGCTGAGGCTCTGTCTCAAAAAAAAGGAAAACCTTTAGGCTGTACTTAACATATGTAAGGAGGACTGTGCACACCCCCTGTGGATTAAGTGTGTATTGCAGGGGACAAGGGAAAGCTCTCCCTTCCCCATATGAAGTTTCCCTGAAGAATTAACTCACAGAAAGCAGATCATGCCGGGTACGGTGGCTCACACTTGTAATCCCAGAATTTTGGGAGGCCAACAGGGAGGATCCTTTTAGGCCAGGGGTTCAAAACCAGCCTGGGCAACAGAGGGAGACCTTGCTCTACCAAAAAAAAAATTTTTTTTTAATTAGCTGGGCATGGTGGTGGGCACCGTGGTCTCAGCTACTCAGAAGGCTGAAGTGGGAGGATTGCTTAAGCCCAGGAGTTCGTGGTTACAATGAACCATGATAGCACCACTGCACTCCAGCCTGAGTGACAGAGCAACATGCTGTCTCAAAGAAACCAAAAAAGGCAGATTAATTGGATAAAAGGCATACACATGTTCTTGATGTGTACATGGGAGAACCACGGAGTGATTTCTACCTTGCCCAACAGGGTTCAGAAGCTTGTTACCATCCTGGCAAAACAGGTTATGGAAGTGGGGAGAAGCGGAATTCTACTGAGCCTCTCAATAAAGGATTACCAGGGAGAATGAATGGATTGGTGAACAGAAATTAACTTTCATCCCCTGTGCAACTGGCTGGGGCTGGTGTCTCTGGTGGTAAAATAATTTACCAAGACAGATGTAGGTAAAGAAAGGCAGGGATGGGCCAAGCACGGTGGTTCATGCCTGTAATCCATGCACTTTGGGAGGCTTAGGCGGGTGTATCACTCGAGGTCAGGAGTTGAGACCAGCCCGGCCAACATGGTGAAACCCGGTCTCTACTAAAATACAAAAAAAATTTACCTGGGCGTGGTGATGGGTGCCTGTAATCCCAGCTACTTGGAAGGCTGAGGCAGGAGAATCACTTGAACCCGGGAGGCAGAGGTTGCAGTGAGCGGAGATTGCACCACTGCAGCCTGGGCAACAGAGTGAGACTCTGCCTCAAAATAAAATAAAAATTAAAAGTTTAAGAAGCACTGTTTTAGGGGATTTTGAAGATTGACTGAGATAGTGAATATTATAACTATATAGTGAATATATTCATTATGTAATTATACAATGAATATAACAGAATCTGGCCTGTAATGGGACCTCTTTCTATATTTGTTGAATGAATGCACGAGTAACCCCTTGATTTAAATGTGTTTGTTTACACTTTACACCAGAGGAAAAGTCTCAGATGGGCCAGGCGCGGTGGCTCACGCCTGTGATCCCACCACTTTGGGAGGCTGAGGCAGGTGGATTACTTGAGGTCAGAAGTTCTAGACCAGCCTGGCCAATATGGTGAAACTCCATCTCTACTAAAAATACAAAAAAATTAGCCAGCAATGTTGGCAGGTGGGCGCCTGTAGTCCCGGCTACTCGGGAGGCTGAGGCAGAATAGCTTGAACCCAGGAGGCAAAGACTGCAGTGCACCGAGATCGCGCCACTGCACTCCAGCTTGGGCGACAGAGCGAGACTTCATCTAAAAAAAAAAAAGACCGGGCGCAGTGGCTCACGCCTGTAATTCCAGCACTTTGGGAGGCCAAGGTGGGCGGATCACAAGGTCAGGAGATTGAGACGATCCTGGCTAACATGGTGAAACCCCATTTCTACTAAAAATACAAATAAAAAATAGCCGGGTGTGGTGGCGGGCACCTGTAGTCCCAGCTACTCGGGAGGCTGAGGCAGGAGAATGGTGTGAACCCGGGAGGCGGAGCTTGCAGTGAGTCAAGATCACTCCACTGTGCTCCAACCTGGGAGACAGAACCAGACTCCATCTCAAAAAAAAAAAAGAAAGAAAGAAAGAAAGAAAGACTCAGATGGATATTAGGTGCACTGGTCAAACTAGTAAAATCCTGGGGGCATAGGGCATGGTGTTTGGGGAGAGTAAAAAAAGGAGGTTCCTTCCCAGAGACTTTAGGGCCAGGACAAAAAACTGTACCATTAAATATTCTGGCAGAAAAGGCTGTGCCCCATCTAAATAGAGATGCAGTTTAGAGAGACCAAGGGGGTGCCAACCCTGGGGTCTCACTGACAATATTTATGCATCTAAAAGACCAACATAGCCAGGCGCGGTGGCTCACGCCTGTAATCCCAACACTTTGGGAGGCTGAGGCGGGTGGATCATCTGAGGTGAGGAGTTCAAGACCAGCCTGGCCGACATGGTGAAATCCTGTCTCTACTAAAAATACAAAAACTAGCTGGGCGTGGTGTCACATGCCTGTAATCCCAGCTACTCAGGAGGCTGAGGCAGGAGAGTCGCTTGAACAGAGATCCCGCCACTGCACTCCAGCCTGGGCAACAGAGTGAGACTCCATCTAAAACACAAACAAAGATCAACATAATCACTCTTGCATTCATCCACGAAGACTTATGCAGCCCTGCTATGTGCTTGGTGCTGAGCGAAAGAAAAAGAGAGGTGACCCCATCTCTAGAGACGCTGACAATGACAATTTAAAATCTACAGTGGGAGGGCCTGGCATGGTGGCTCACACCTGTAATCCCAGCACTTTGGGAGGCCAAGGTGGACAGATCATTTGAAGTCAGTAGTTTGAGACCAGCCTGGCCAATGTGGTGAAACCCTGTCTGCACAAAAAATACAAAAATTAGCCAGGCGTGGTGGTGGACACCTGTAATCCTAGCTACTCGGGAGGTTGAGGCAGGAGAATCGCTTGAACCCCAGAGGCAGAGGTTGCAGTGAGCTGAGATCATACCACTGAGCTACAGCCTGGATGACAGAGCGAGACTTCGTCTCAAAAAATAAAAATAAAAATAAATAAATAAATAAATAAAATCTACAGCGGGAGAGAAGTGCTCTGAGAACAAACAGATAGCTAAGGATTGATGAGGGGAGGATAAAGGTTTAGGAGATCACGTGCCTGGGAAAGCCTCCTGAAGAATCACATAGAAGATGAAATCTGAAGAGCACAATTTAGGGAAAAGTG